ATGTAGCGCTTGTTTCGGATTATTTTTAATCGTCCCGGATATCTCCGAATCTATGATGTAGCGCTTGTTTCGGATTATTTTTAATCGTCCCGGATATCTCTGAATCTATGATGCAGAGCTTTCTTTGGATTATTTCTAATCGTCCCGGATATCTCCGAATCTATGATGTAGCGCTTGTTTCGGATTATTTTTAATCGTCCCGGATATCTCTGAATCTATGATGCAGAGCTTGTTTCGGATTATTTTTAATCGTCCCGGATATCTCCGAATCTATGATGCAGCGCTTGTTTCGGATTATTTTTAATCGTCCCGGATATCTCACTTCGCATCCTACATTTTAAGGTTATCATTTTTTTCCAGGGGTTAATATAGGATGCCCGGCATGGCCAGGTGGTTAGGGCGCTCGACTCGCAATCTGAGGGTCGCAGGTTTGAATCCCCGTCCCACCAAACATGCTCGCCTATTCAGCCGTGAGGGCGTTATAATGTGACGGTCAATCCCACCATTCGTTGGTAAAAAAGTAGCCCAAGAGTTGGCGGTGGGTGGTGATGACTAGCTGCCTTCCCCCTAGTTTTACACTGCTAAATTAGGGACGGCTAGCGCAGATAGCCCTCGTGTAACTTTGCGCGAAATTCAAAAACAAACTAATATAGGATTTTATTTAGGCATGCTTTTTCAGAAAACGTTTCAAATTATACGAGCTGAATGATTCAAAAACTTACTCAGGAAAAGGGGGAGGTGGCATATCTTGGATCAGCTCTAGCTGTTGAGTCTGAGCTACCTCAAGTACTTATTTTCTAGAGAGAGAAAAAAGGTATTGAATCTCTGTAAACGAGATGGGAAGGATTTTGAGTTTTGAAAGATAACAATTTAAACGTTACTGAAGCCTCTGTTTAGGATAGAGATGAATAGAAGTATTGTAGTTGACTAGGTCTGTAAAATATCACTTCGCAAGCAGGGCAGATTTAAAATTATAGTATCTTTGGGTTTGGTTTCAATTTCGCGCAAAGCTACACGAGGACTGTCTGCGCTAGCCGTCACTAATTTAGTGAAAGACAAGAAAAGAGGGAAGGTAGCTAGTCATCATCACCCACCGCCAACTCTTGGACTTCTTTTTTGGCGCGAGTTACCGTAATCGTTTGGTCTTGTTTCTTTTGAAGATCCTCTGCTCCTTTTGTCAAAGTACACTCAGGCTGATTCAATTACTTTAGAACCACGGTTTGACAGAATATAAATATTTTTCTTATCTTTATTTCTACTGTTAGTTTCACTCTAACATATTAAACGTTAGACCTGTCACTTCTACGGTAGTTAACTTCACACCAATTTTATTCTCTTTTGCTATTATCTGTCTGCTGCTTCCAGCTCGTCTCACGCTATTTATATCTATATTACCAAATCGTCTGTCCACCTTCTATATTCTCGACGTTAATATATTGCACGTGACATTCGATATTCTCAACATCAATGAATTATTAACAAAACTTCCTACAGTTATGGCTTTTAACTCTCATTATAACAAATACTAAACAATAATAAAACATTCACTCACTAAGCTAAATTAATCACCCGTTTTGTGGACAACACTTCCATGGAAATTTAGCAGAATTTCCTGATTATGCTTTACTACAGATGTTTCCCATACTAACTGTGAAAGGATGGGATTGACGGTTATTTCAACTGTGATGAATATAACCGAGTTTGACGTGTTACGTAACAGTGTATTTCATCTTCAAACTCGTTATTACCTTTGTATGAAACGTGGGTCATTTTCTGTATATTTAGAATGTTGATTGTAGATTCATAACCATTAGTTGTAAGCGAATCACAGAGAATACTAGTGCGATAGAAATAAAGAGATAGTTCGGCTTGTCAACTGAATTTCTAAAGTAACTAAATAGGCCTAAGTGGATAATTGACAAGAAGGAGAGAACTACATATGTAGTATTTATGATATGTCCATAATATCTATGGTGTTGAAGGACTTATTGTACATACGTTAACTTGTTCTGAATATATACATATATATTATTTGGAAAACAAGTGGAATGCGTGCCGTTTATTCATCGTTGAATTTATCGTTAACAAGTTACAGGCACCTACTGTAGAAGAATCCTGAGCCCAACAACAACATAGTAGATCTTGTGTTATACATTATATTGTACCAAACTACCTGACATGGATCAGAAAGGATAATAAATCGAAAGATTGATTTTGTATGAACAAAACTAACTGGGTGTACATTCGTGAATTCATTAGATTCTTGTGTTATACATTATATATTACCAAACTACCTGACATGGATCAGAACACCGACAAGATCGACATCCTTGCCAGGTATGAAACTCTTCTTTTCCATGTGCACATTTCAGCTGACCACAGTTCGAAGGTGGGCAGAGACGTTCGTACGAGGTATGTACCGTAGAAGGTAGAACTGATGGAGCAGTCGGAGGTAAAGCTGCTGTTAAAACGGCAAAGTTATCCAATCTATACAATGGTCAAAATGTTTTCTTTTTTTCAATGATTAACTAACAAATCTCATAATTAATGTTGCTGATCTAACACACATGTTAAAAGGTAACATCACCATAAGTAATTTGCATGAACAGCAAAACGTTGGAATTTCGACAAATGTATTTGCTTTGAAAATGAAACACGTGTGACAAACTTTTGACTCGCAATTACTTTAGATTAGGTTGTCAAAACAAATATTGACAACATAAAGTTGTCTTGCTGTAATTTCGATATTCAGTTGTCGTTGTTGACTTAAGTCGCAGTTAAAGTTGTCTTGCTGTAATTTCGATATTCAGTTGTCGTTGTTGACTTAAGTCGCAGTTAAAGTTGTCTTGCTGTAATTTCGATATTCAGTTGTCGTTGTTGACTTAAGTCGTAGTTAAAGTTGTCTTGCTGTAATTTCGATATTTAGTTGTCGTTGTTGACTTAAGTCGTAGTTAAAGTTGTCTTGCTGTAATTTCGATATTTAGTTGTCGTTGTTGACTTAAGTCGCAGTATAATTTATTGAAAAATCGTACAAATTTCATGAAATATGAAATTAGGTTGTACTTAAAACTTTTTATTAAAAGTCTGCAATCTCTCTTATATAAAGTATAAAATCTGTATAATGTTGTTTGGTTAAAAAAAACAGTTTTTTTTGTCTTAGATACAGAATCAAGTGCTTTAAACAAGATTCCAGACTAACAATATCATTCTGTATTATATCTATAAATACTTTAAATTAAATTTTGCAAGGTCTTTAAACTATAGTGAAATATATGTAGCCTCAGAATGTTGCATTATTGAAATTAATGATCGTCATAAGCTGAAACTATTTATTCTATTACAATACCACACACACAATCACCTACAATAGTAATATACATACTATTATGAAATAAGTAATATTAATAACTGAAACTATTTATTCTATTACAATACCACACATACACATTCACCTACAATAGTAATATACATACTATTATGAAATAAGTAATATTAATAACTGAGACTATTTGTTCTATTACAATACCACACATACACATTCACCTACAATAATAATATACATACTATTATGAAATAAGTAATATTAATAACTGAAACTATTTATTCTATTACAATACCACACATACACATTCACCTACAATAGTAATATACATACTATTATGAAATAAGTAATATTTATAACTGAAACTATTTGTTCTATTACAATACCATACACACATACACCTACAATAGTAATATACATACTATTATGAAATAAGTAATATTAATAACTGAAACTATTTATTCTATTACAATACCACACACACATTCACCAACAATAGTAATATACATACTATTATGAAATAAGTAATATTAATAACTGAAACTATTTATTCTATTACAATACCATACACACATACACCTACAATAGTAATATACATACTATTATGAAATAAGTAATATTAATAACTGAAACTATTTGTTCTATTACAATACCATACACACATACACCTACAATAGTAATATACATACTATTATGAAACAAGTAATATTAATAACTTCGTTATTGATTTACTCTACAAACGGTTACCTGTAGTGTCTAAGCAAATTTGCATACAGATTTCATAAGATTGGAAGCGATTTTCATTCCCCTCGCAGCCCGTGTATAAAAAGGGCAAACATTGAAGACTCTCGGGATCAAAGAACCAGAAGGCATGGGCCTCGTCACATGACCCGACATTTACAGGCAGTTGACAAGCAGCTGTAACAATAAATACGTCTGCATGAATATTCAAATTTTTCTTTTAACTATCCAACATTGTTTTTTTTATTAATTTTGCACATTTTATTATTACTTTATACTTTACAAGTACAACAGTTCGTAATTACCTTTTGTTTTGCCGTATATTTTCATAATATTAGTCAGTAAACATTTGAATAATTAAACAAAACAAATTAAATTACACACACACGTGACAAACGTCTTCACACCTTGAGATTTTACCCGTCCATACAAACCACTGCCATCTAGCGGAATTTTCTTCTTTTTACAGCGATTTTCACATGCATCCTTATCGTGGAACCTATTGCCGTTTCCTTGACAACCGCCAAATGGGAATTCTAGACATTCGTCAAGAGAGCTATTGTAATACCATTGTGGAAATGAGCCACTGCACGGCCCTCGGACTTTAGGAAGTTGGCAGATATCTGAGGTAAAATATTAGGAATTTACATGAGTTTCTTTTTATTATATAAGCTTGTATTCATTGAAAGTATAGTATTTTCACTTGGTTGTATACAACCAGAAATCGGAATTTTTCACCATGGAATCTAAACAAATTTGTTGACAACATCACAACAGACACGGATAATTTTCTTCCTTTTTTATGTAATGAAAGCATATTTAATTTAGTGCATAAAAAAATGTCAACATAACATATTGCTACGATGTACACCCCAAAAATTTATTATTCAATTTCCTTCGTCACTGGTGAATAGGATAATTGGGTTACGTGGATTGTTTCTATACCTAACGTCTCCGTTTTGCTTTTCTTACCTTGAGAGCGGCCACATTTATTCTCACATTCTTCCATTGAATAGAAACGATTCTTGTTTCCCAGGCAACCACCATAGTAGAAGTCTCTGCAGACGCCATCCTCATGACTGTAATACCACCTAAGTTCGGTGTTTAAACAAGGACCAGGATCCTTGCTTTCAAAACAGAATTCTGAGAAAAGAAAACAAGCGATTTATAAAATTATTCAATATACATTAAAATAACCAAACTCGATATCTTTAACTTTCACGCATTCTGTTTATTAAAATGCAATATTATTTGTGAAAGGGAAAAATATCTAACAGTCTTTAATCATATCATATTTCCCCTCTCTTCCTTATGTATTTTGTAGCTCTATGTTATTGAAACTATTTTACTTGGAATTTGGTTAGAGATTTTACTCCGTCAATGGACATTCCTCGATAATAGATTATGTCAACATCCTGGGTCAAGGAGCTTCAAGTAAAAGTGACAAATAATAGCAATTTAAAATTATACACTCATCTAGGCACTTTCATATTTATTACTAGAGAAATTATGTTTAATTCCTTGATTCGTTTAACAAAATAATCCTAGTTCTTACTCAAGCCAAAGAACCTTGCAAAAAACGAAGGAAAGCTGACTTTATGTCACATTCACTTCCAGCACGTGATTAACTACTTTGAACATCATAAGTTGATTGTACTTAATTGTGTCACACCAAGACAGTCATTGTTTTCTGAAGCTACAGAATGATATTATCTGTAACTTATATGATGTTTCTGACACTAAAAAACAGACACTTCATGAGGTTTGAATTTTTCTTAGCCACCGAAGAAAGGTAAAATAGCTGATTTATTTGTACCGTTTGAAGTCTTACTTGAACAAACACACAAAGAAACCACCAATATCTAGGAGCGTAACTACCACTGAGGAAACGAAAGCAATTAGCTGGCTTGAAATTGCCGAGCATAGCTTTGAGGCTTTTTATATTATGTTATTTTATTTATTTTTTTCACTAATGAAATAAAATTTGTTTGGAAACGTCTTCTAAAATCTATACGTGTAAAAATTTATGCTTAGAATTATAAACGATAACATATCTATTCCACCTATCCCTGTAAGTGTCACTGGTCAATATTTAATTGTAGGACTCAACCTGTCCTTGTAAGTGTCGCTCGTCAATATTTAATTGTAGGACTCTACCTGTCCCTGTAAGTGTCACTCGTCAATATTTAATTGTAGGACTCTACCTGTCCCTGTAAGTGTCGCTCGTCAATATTTAATTGTAAGTCTCTACCTGTCCCTGTAAGTGACGCTCCTCAATATTAAATTGTAGGACTCTACCTGTCTCTGTAAGTGTCGCTTGTCTATATTTAATTGTAGGACTCTACCTGTCATTGTAAGTGTCACTGGTCAATATTTAATTGTAGGACTCAACCTGTCCTTGTAAGTGTCGCTCGTCAATATTTAATTGTAAGTCTCTACCTGTCCCTGTAAGTGACGCTCCTCAATATTAAATTGTAGGACTCTACCTGTCTCTGTAAGTGTCGCTTGTCTATATTTAATTGTAGGACTCTACCTGTCATTGTAAGTGTCGCTCGTCAATATTTAATTGTAAGACTCTACCTGTCATTGTAAGTGTCGCTCGTCAATATTTAATTGTAAGACTCTACCTGTCCTTGTAAGTGTCGCTCGTCAATATTTAATTGTAGGACTCTATCTGTCCTTGTAAGTGTCGCTCTTCAATATTTAATTGTAAGACTCTACCTGTCCTTGTAAGTGTCGCTCGTCAATATTTAATTTTAAGACTCTACGTGTCCCTGCAAGTGTCACTCCTCAATATTAAATTGTAGGACTCTACTTGTCCCTGTACGTGTCGCTCGTCAATATTTAATTGTAGGACGCTATCTGTCCCTGTAAGTGTCGCTCGTCAATATTTAATTGTAAGACTCTACCCGTCTCTGTAAGTGTCGCTCGTCAATATTTAATTGTAAGACTCTACCTGTCTCTGTAAGTGTCGCTCATCCATAGTTAATTGTAGGACTCTACATGTCCCTGTAAATGTCGAATATTATACACACGTAGTTTTTTCCGGATCTGACACATGTTGTCAGTATCACAAATTCTGAACTGATTATGATGAACCTATGTGTATTTAATAATAGAAGAATTAAGGTTCGGCCGGCCTGATAAGACCTGGTATGGGGCGAAAGGCTTAGTCGCAATGGGTATGGCAGATGTTGTGTGATTGGCATATTAAAACATATTCTTCTTTACTTTCACTCATAAGTTCTTATAATTAGAAAACATTGACGTTTTAAAATTAATTTCCACGAATAGCAGACAGTGTATTTCACCATGGAGAGTCCCACCCCTGTGAAAGTTGAAGTAACACTTTAGATTGTTGTTGCCCTTGATTTAACGATTTGGCAATGCTACAAAAGCAAGAGGTTCGTCAGAATAATCAAGTTTAGTATATAAATAATACCACATAATCGCCCCTTGATTAAACACTCCCTTATAATGTACTCACATTTGACCATTTGACGATGTTGCATATATAATTTTACATAAATAAAGATGGGGTGCCAATAATATGGTAAACTCATTACATAGTTTCAAACAGTTTATCGACGCAATATTCAAAAAACAGTTGTATCCTTCAAAATTACCGTCCGATCCTAGTGACTGAAAAATGAAGCAGATGCCGCTGTTTAGACCACCTTAAAACGACTTAGATCAGATGTGAATAATGAAAAAAAAAAAAAACAGCAACAAAGAACACTTTCTTTCCTGAGCGTCCCACCGGTGGGACAGCTGTAAGTCTACGGATCACAGCACTAAAATCCGGGGGTAAAATCTCCGTGGTGGACACAGCAGATAACCCAAGTGGCTTTGCTCTAGAACAGTCTTTTCTTTAGCATCTGGATACGCTAATTATAAGCCCCGATAAGGTTTGTTTGTTTATTTGCTATGAATTTCGCGCAAAGCTACACGAGGACTATCTGCGCTGGCCGTCCCTAATTTAGCAGTGTAAGACTAGAGGGAAGGCAGCTAGTCATCACCACCCACCGTCGAGTCTTGGGCTACTCTTTTACCAACGAATTGTGGGATTGACTGTCACATTATAACGCCCCCACGGCTGAAAGGGCGAGCATGTTTGGTGGGACGGGGATTCGAACCCGCGACCCGCAGATTACGAGTGAAGCGCCCTAACCACCTGGCCATGTCGGGCTTATAAAAAAAAAAGGTATTCTCACCAAGAATTTAAAACATTTTCTCGAGAAAACAGAAAGGACAAAGAAACTTCTTCTCAATGCTAGGGTATTTGTCCTTTAATTTGCTTAGACAAAGACCTGAAGATAAGACTTTTTTATTATATTAGGCTTCTAAATTACTTTTCAGACATTTCAGGCTGAAAATATCAGAAACATTGAATAATATAAGTATGATGGAAAAATATAAAAATAATTCTAATATAATCAAAAACACAGCTGATAAAAATTTAACGTTTTGGTTGCTTCATTGTTCACACAATTCTGCTGTTTTTATGTGCAGAGAATGCTGCTTTAGAAGTTTAAAACACACCGCAAACACACTTAACTAAAAAGGATTACTAAGATCATGTAGTAAAATATAGTATTTATTAAGACTGAGTAGGATAGTAGAACTAGTCAAAGATGGAGTACGACATCAGAAGCATTTGGAAAGATATTATAATTATAAATGATTTGTTGTGGTACATTAATGAAACCAGTAGTACTGATCATGTTGAATAGAACCCTAAAAGGACTTTTTTAAATAGGTTAGAATACTAAACACATTTGTTAGAGTAGTACATCAGGAACATTTATTAGAGGAAAGTAGAATGCTAAATGTGTTTGAAAAAAGTAGATTAGTTAGTTAATGTGCTTCAGAATTTCGCGCAAAGCAACACGAGGGTTATCTGCGCACAGCCATCTCTAATTTTGAACTTATAGACTAGATAAAGTTGTTAATTTATTAGCGGCTATACAATGGGCTGTCTGCTGTGAATCAAACCCTGACCTACTGTGTTGTAGGTCCGTGAACTTCCCGCTGACACACAGGAGATCTAGATTAGAAGAAAATCAACCAGTTAACAATACCCACCACCAATGGTATTTACACAACATTCTCATAAATCACACGTGGCCCCAAAGTGCAAACCTCATTTTTGCGTCAACGGGTCACGAAAAGTAAACGAGGACACTAGAAGCAGTTGTTAAAATATTAGAATACAAACACATTGGTTTAGGAATATTAGGATACTAAAATTATTTTCAAGTTTAGATTGTAACATTAGCGTAGTACTACAGGTAATAAAACAATATAGGATATAGGCACAGCGGTATGTCTGCGGACTTACAACGCTAGAAACGGGTTTCGATACCCGTGGTGGGCAGAGCACAGATAGCTCTTGTGTAGCTTTGTGCATAATTAAAACAAACAAACAAAACAATATAGGAGGTGCCAAAATAAAATATAACTTAAATAAATATGGTTATACAGAAGGTTGGGTATATTGTATTAAAATAACTTGAATATGCAAGTCAACAGATCACGTGACAACCAGAGTCGATGTAAAGACGCGTTGGAACGGAATGAATCAAACTACATTTTACCTTATTTGACGTTTCGTAGATACTGCGTTGCTACCAAAAATTGATGGCTATTGGGAAGAGTATGTCATAGTCATTTCCGATGTATAATATTCATACACTTAGATCATAAAACGTGTTCACATTGGGCATTTACAATTTCCAAGACGAAGATGTTACTTTTACTTAATGGCTTTTGTTTGTAATTAAGCACAAAGCTGCACAATGGGCTATCTGTAGCCTGCCCACCACGGGTATCGAAACCCGGTTTCTAGCGTTGCAAGTCCGCAGACACGCCGCTGTGCCACTGGGGGGGGGGCTACTTTATGGCATTGGAAAATAAAGTAATATCCAGAAAGAGACCTGTTACACGTCGCACCTCACTAGTGGTAGGCAAAGTCCGATGTTTTGTAACAGATCAGAAACCAGGAACATAAAGGCTAGTGGCAAAAGCCGTCCACATACCTCAGGCAACAGTAAGGAAAAAAACATTGTTTTTTCAAAATAATACTTCACATCCGTTCATTGAAACAAAAGAATAACTATGAGTATTTTTTTACTTAAAATAAGGAAATTAAACGATAAAGCTCTGGTTGTGTTAGCAGCAACATATAAGACAAACTGTAATATTAAAAATCTAAGTATTAATGGAATTTACTTGGCAAAAATGGCGAAATGAAACCTAAATTCACGTGATTCTGAACATTTTTGTTTACCTGTTTTAAAGGTTCCTTCTTCCTGCTTCTCTATCTTTGTGTCATCAGTTGGGCAACTCTTCTCACATTCCTCAAGACTGGCAAAATTATTTCTGTTGCCATTACAACCGCTGTACAGAAATACTAAACATCGACCATAATTTTGGTCGTAAAACCAGCGTTCCGTGAAGTCATGGCAATTTCCCACTTCCTTCGAGAGGCTGCACACTTCTGACAGTTAAGAACAAATTCAATTTCAAACAAAAGAATACTGGAAATACAATAAAGAAATCTAGAAATTAGGGACTCATAGAGTTACGTGGGTATTATCAATATTGAGATATTATCAAAGTCTTAATTGGTGGAACAAGTATTATCGCCTTAATAATAAGTAATCAGTAATGAATAGTTTTGATCGAAACACAGTACATAGAAATTCATGCCTTCAAAAATTGACAGCAATGATAATAGGCTGTTTCAGTTATACATATATGCAAGGGTATAATAAATTGGTCATACTATAACAATGGACAATTTAAGCCGACCGGTATTCAACTACATTGATTCACCAGTCTAACAAGTCGTATATGAATAAGGCCCAACTGATAGGAAATTGGCTAAAAAGTTGATGTGTTTTTATGCATTATAATTTGGTACAAAACGTGTACAAAAGTTTTTGAAAATTTATCAAGAAACATACTATTTTAGAAATACTAATTTTTTCTAGGTTTTATGCTGGTCATTTAAAGCAGATATATAACAAAAGACTTGTGTTTTTCTCACAATGTATAACATTATGTGTTTTGAGTGTGACGGATTTATTATTCTATATTTATTTTAATATCGATGTTTGT